AGCTGTGACCTGGCTCCACAGCACGCCAGCCTGGGCAAGGCAGGGATCCCCATCTCCTGCCACCCACCTCAGCCCAGCACCTGGAGGGGATGGAGGCCCAGCAGGGTCAGGACATGGGCATGTGGGACCCATCAGTGCCCTCCTCCAAGGACACAGAGGGCCAGGGGGCAGCACTGGAGCACGGCACAGGGCCGGGAAGCTCCAGCACAAACCAGGTGCATGCACCCCTTGCTCTCCCTGCTCCCCCATCATTGTCAAGCCTCTAACTTGGGGGGCATCAGTGGCACAGGAGGAAGAGGGCACTTGACCCCCCTGGCAACGAGCCCCTCTCCAGCTCCGGGCACGGCCCCAGCAGGCACTGGGCACTGCAGAGCTCTGTGCTCCTTGTTTGCCCGCTGCAAAGCAGGAAGCAAAAGCTGCCCCACGTCCCAGCCCATTCCGAGTCCCTGGGCAGCACCGGCGCGGGGGAAGCACCCGGCCGTGGCCTTGCTTGGGGCGGTGACGGTGCTGTGGGAAGCGAGCGAGGCCGGGCGACTGCGGCGGGCAGGAAGGAGCTGCCCGAGGCCGCGGCGCGGTGCCCTATCGCGGCCGCAAGAGCAGCCGCAGAGTTGTCGGCCGCGGGCGCCCTGGGCCGGCCCGTGGCTAACGCGAGCCCCGGCGAGCGCCCGCGCAGCTGCCAGCTCTGCTCTGGGGGCACCTGGCAGCAGGGTGCCCCGGCCCAAGGGGGGCAGGAGGAGGAAGAGGAGGAGGAGGGTGGAGGGGGGGGAGGAGCGGGGGCAAAGCCGAACTGGACGGAAGCTGGAGCACGGAGGGGACATTTGAGCGGCGCTGGAAGGGCCTGGGGTAGCCACGGAAGGGGGGCTGCCCACGTGGCCCGGTGGGTCGGGCGCCACAGCCCGGCCTTCCCCGCGGCCCCGGTTCCTCTTCCCGGCAACTCCCCTCCCCCTCGCTCCGAGCTCCTCTTCCTGCCCCAGCCCCGCAGCCCTGGGGYGATGCCAGCCCTGCTGGGGGTCTCGGTTGGCAACGGGACCACCAGGATACTGCTGGGAAAGGGAGGGGACAGGACAGGCAGGGACACAGAGCTCCTGCCAGGACCCAAAGCGGGACAGGACAAGGGGGTAAAGGGGACAAAGGATGCCAGGGCAAGCAGTGCCTCCATCCCACAGCTCAGAGTGTCCTCAGGGGCAGAGAAGGGGCTCATAGCCCCCCAGGGTCTGCCCAGGCTCCCCCTCCCATTTGGGCATGCAGCCAGCTCCCGCCCCTGGATTTTCATGGGCGGAAAGCGAAAGAGGAAAAACCTTCCCCATTCCCGAGATGCCAGGCGGACAGGACCGCCCCGGGCCTGCCTGCCCCRGGCCAGGCCAGGGGCATCTCCCCTCCCAGGGCACCCCATGGACCCCCCCCTTTCCTGGGCCATGCCCAGCCTTCCCAGTGTCCCAGACTGCCCAGTAAGAGTAATAGCACACACTGGGAGTCCGGAGCCCCTAGTCTGCCCCCAAACTGAGCCTCTGAACAGGGGGAGGACAGCAGAGGGTGCAGGGGGTGTCCAGAGCCTGGTCTCAGATGGGGGGAAAGCACAAGGGGCACAGATGGGGGACACTGGGGTCCTGCACTAGGGGAGCTGGTGGGTGATGGAGGGCACATGAGGTTYAGTGGAAGGGCACCGAGTGCACTGGGATCCCCCACTGGGAAGAACTGGGGGGGCTCACTGGGATGTCCTGGTGGGATCCAGTCCTGGGCATCCATCAGGAGCCCCCGGGCCCCAAGTGCAGGAGTTGGCAGGGGGGACACTGGGACCCCACACTGGAGAGGAGCCTGGAGGGGCACTGGGAGGGCACCTGGACCCCAGACTGGGCCACGTGTACAGGGGCACTGGAGGCCCCAGCCAAGCAGGTTCGGGTGGGCAGCAGCAGGGGGGCCTGGGGCTTGGGCCTGGGGCTTAGGCCTGGTGGCTCAAGGGAGGCACTGGGGGCGGCTCTCGGAGGCCGGGGCGGGGGGGCACAGGGCGAACTCCGGACCCCCGCCTGGCGGTGCTGGCGGCGACCCGGGGAGGACGCGGTGCCGGGCGGGGGGCGCGCGGGGGGCCCGGGCCGGCTGCGGGCGGCACTCACCGAGGCGCAGGAAGAGGACGACGCTGAACATGGAGAGCAGCGTGGGCACCACGACGCCCAGGAAGGTGGGCAGCTTGCGGGGCGCGGCGGCGGCGGCGCGGGCCCGGCCG